CAACATCTTAGTGCATTACTTACAGACTACATATCTGTGAAGATGCAAATAGAAGAAAAACGCTAATCCTGCCAAGAAATGCAACTACACATCCTTTACTGAAATAAATGCAGATTCGAGTCCAGTAGCATCTTAGAGACAGACAAGATTTTAGGGCTTTCGAGAGTCAAAGCTCTCTTTGTCAGATACCTGAAGTATTTAATGAAGGGAGCTTCAGTTCTTGAAAACTTAAGAACCTAAAAACTTGTTGGTATCTCTTGTGCTACTGGACATCTACTGCCGATCAACACAGCTACCCTCCTGGAACTGTCCACTGAAATAGTTCCCCAGGGCCAGCCAGTGATACACAATAAGCCTCACGGATTCCAAAATCCGAGAGGTATCTGCCCCAGCAATTTAAGTATCCTCCCAACACATCACCCATGTTTCTGGCATAGGCACACAGAGTTGCTTGATGGCTAAATAAATGGGAAGGTGGCAAATTTTAATTCCCTCTCCAGGAAGATTCATCTGCCTCCCATTATTGGTGTCTTTCACCAGGAGGTGAAGACTTCTTTTGTCTGACATACCTCTAATAATGGTTTTTGGGCATCCTTCTGGTGTTTGTTTAGGAGTTTAACTCGATTATTTTACAATTTTAGATACATTTTTAATTGCTGATTGGGTGGAAAGACAGCATAAAAATGGTTTAAATAAATAATTCAATTAAGGAAGGGAGGAACCCTTGGGTCCACCCTGCATTTACTACAGCAGTCACCCTCTTATCCAGCAGCAATGCCAATGTTCAAGAATAATTTTACACGTGCTAAGAGAGCTATTGGACACCACAGGGAAGAGGTCAGATTTCTGGTGGTTTTGAAGCTATGGCTGTTAGGGTCAACAATGGCTACAAACTCCTAGTTCAAACTGGCAGCAACAGCCTCAGAACTAGCTTATACTTACACACCCCTGTCCTTTCTTTAGCTGCACTGGACAAAGTTACTTGGCATACCACGTATTTCATACAGCTGAGCCACAGCTGATCAGGAATTTTCTTCAAACATTCTTTAAAAGATCAGTTGCAATCAGTTGTTCAGGGACTGTGGGTCAGTGGGAGAGCATATGGTCCCAAGTTCAATCCCCAGTATCTCTAATCAGAAGGATTAGTTAAGAGGTGATGTGAAAGACCTCTGCCTGTGACCCTGGAGAGCCGCTTCCAGTCAGAATAGACAATGCTTTGATGGGCCAAGGGCCTGATTCAGTATAAAGCAGCACGATGTGTTCAACAGACTAAGAGTGAGAGAAACAACAAACAGCTAGGAAGCTCTTTCTGTTTTATTTGTCCAACTTAAAAGAGCTCAAACAGGGACTCTGTGGATACTTGTGGGTTTCTGGGCACAGAGTGTCTCATGGGACTCATCACAGCTCTCTCTCCCTCCCACACTCCAAAACACATTGTGCAAGTTCCTTCCTGTCCCCACCTCCCATTGCTTCTCCACCAGAAAAATAATCTCCCATCTTCCAACTGGATCAGGACCTGAAGGAAGCAGCAGAGCCTGGCTCTCCTGTACTTTGTTTCCTCCACTGGTCACTGGGTACTCCATCACAGGGAGATGAGCAAATCTTGTCATTGGTGGGCTTATATCTTGGACTTCAGCATGTTCTCAATCATGTCAACCTTTGATTACATCCCTGATACTCGGGGGTGGGAGTGGGAATCTGCCAAGCAAAATTATTTTCATAAGGAAATGAATGAGGATTTTACCAGAAATATCTAAAGATCTTCAAGAAGTTCAGGCATTCCCAACCTCTGCAGTAACTATGAAATGATTTGCTCAAGCCCACAACATGCTATTAAATGGAATGCTTTGAATATTCTAAAAAGTAAGGAGGTCATTGTCTTTACACGGTGGTATTAGCTATTAGCCACAAGATATAGATAGGGACTCTGGGGCAAGTGATGCTCTGTCATCTTGGTGCTTGGGGGGGTCAACAGTGGGATGGCTTCTAATGTCCTGGCCCCACTGGTGGACCTCCTGATGGCACTGGTATTTCTGGCCACTGTGTGATACAGAGTGTTGGACTGGATGGGCCTTTGGCCTGATCCAACATTGGCATCTCTTATGTTCTTATGTACTCTGTAGCATATATGAGATTGCACACTTATTAGCGACAACGTTAACAGTTCATCAATGGTCCCTGTTGTTTTAGTCAGTGCAGCACTCAGCACACACATTGTAACAGCAAAGTCTTCAGGGACTTATATGACTGACATCCCTCCCCAAATCCTGAACATACTACCTGGAAGCCAAAAGGACTAGTGACTCAGCTCAGCAGTAGAGCATCTGCTTGGCATGCAGAAAGTTCCAAGTTCAGTTCCTAGTATCTGTAGTTAAAGGGATTAAGTAGCAGGTAACGTGAAAGACTTCTGAAACCATGGACAGCCACTGCTAGTGTACTGTCCTTGAAAAAACAATGGTCTCACTCAATATAAGGCAATTTCATGCCTTCAAGAGCTACCTCACAGGTGCTCAAGGGCCTGCACATTCAGTAAGGGAGCTACCCTCCTCTATGACATGAGAGTTGATTGATGTTGAAGAAACTTCACTAAGGACTAGTATACACATCCAGTGACATGATCACGGGCAAGTTTTTAGTCCAAGGGTAAGTTAGCCAAAGAGCTCACGTATGTGGGGGGCACTTAACTGCCTCGATCTGGAGGATCACAGCAGCCTTTTTTGAGCTGCTGCAACTGTGAAGTCTCAGTGGCCACATATACACAATCCTATCATGGAGGTACACATATATAGCAGCTGTGCATCCAGGCTCCTGGCTCTGCATGCTCCTAGGAGATTTTCAGAGACCTGGTGGTTTTGGGTAATACAATTTTTGCAGTGTTTCCGAAACCTGCAAATCCTTGTTTAACCAGGGGGTGCAATGTGATAACTAAATGTGAAGTAGATCCAGATGGGCAGCTGTGTTGGTCTGAAGCAGTACTGAGGGGAATAATATTATCTGTCACATCATATGGGAGAAGGATATGGAGCAGAGGTCCATCAGTGGCTATTAGCCACAAGGTATAGCTAGGGGCTCTGGGGCAAGTGATGCTCTGTCTTCTTGGTGCTTGGGGGGGGGGGTCAACAGTGGGAGGGCTTCTAATGTCCTGGCCCCACTGCTGGACCTCCTGATGGCACTGGTATTTCTGGCCACTGTGTGACACAGAGTGTTGGACTGGATGGGCCTTTGGCCTGATCCAACATTGGCGTCTCTTATGTTCTTATGTAAGGATCCAATTTCCCATCATTTAGTAGTCAAATTCGGTTCATCTGAAGATAAATAACTTTTACTGCTCTTTGAGCAAGGAACAGCCTAGGGGAGAGACCTTGATGGATCAGATGACTCTTCTGCACATACCTTACCAAAGCCTGTCCTAAAGACAAAAGGAAGATATTTCTTTGTAACTTGAAGAAGATTTGAAATCAATTATTTAACATCAGCAAAGACAGGCTTTCATATAATTCTGTGAGCATTCTTTTGATTGCTTTTCCTCTCTTGTGTCATCACGAGAAAGCATCAAATAAATTATTTGTTACCCTGCCAAACTGGATAAACAATTATTATATCAATAAGAGAACACTGTGTAACAATATCAATTATTGCAAACTGCAGGAGTTTTGACAGAAAGGAAAAACATATCAAAGCTAGCTAATCTAGAGAAAATACTACAGGAGTAGCTAAAAATGAGAATGAACTTGGCAAAATCACTAGCTTGCCAAATAAGAAGAGACAGCAGTCAGATGAGACAGTTAGATTTGAGTCCCAGCAGCACCTTAAAGACCGATAAGATTTTCCGGGTATATAAGCTTTTGAGAGTCCAAGCTAAATTAGTCAGACGAGAGAATGACGACAATTTTGAAACTGTTGTAACGGTTTCAAGCTAATCAGAAAACAAGACATCCGATATATGATTTATACTTCATTCATCTATGGTGAACCATTACATAAAGTCTTCTCCCTAAACAATAGGGGTGTACATTTGGATCCACCCAAAACGAAAATATACCCAAAATACTGTATCAGTATTTTTCGGGTATATTTTGGCTTCCCAAATGTAACCGGGTTTTCTTAGGAAAACTGGAGAGAAAATCCTGAGAAAATCCTGGCTATATTCAGGAATTACCGGTAAATCTGGAAGCAGCACAGAGGCGGGCGTCGATTGCTCCTGCCTCTCAGCTGGTTGTCAGGCTTCTACTGCAGTCCCTTTAAACAGCCCGAGGATCAGCTGTGCTGGAGGGGGGGAGCAGACTGTTCACGCCAGCTCGGCTTGCAGATGGCTTCTTGTGCAGCCTGGGATGGTTTCTCTTTCAGCATGGTTTAAACCGGGCTACAAGAGAAGCCAACCCCAGAAGCTGCTGTGCCGCAGGGAGCAATCTGCTTGCTGTGGCACAGCAGACCCTGAGGCCAGCTTCTCCTTCAGCATGGTTTAAAGCACGCTGAAGGGGAAACCATCCCAATCAGGTCTGTGTGCAATACACCAGTATTTTTCTTCTGAGGTCTACTGGACCTGGGGAAAAAAATAGGGATTTCTGAAAAATCCCAGATATGAATAACATACCGGTATTGAGATCTAGGATTTTTCAGAAATACTAAAAAAAAATCAGGTCCAATAGACCCAAGCAAAAAAATATTTAAAAAATTGCACACCCCTACTAAAGAATTACTTTATCAAGTATTGCTTAGGAGGAAAAGTTATGGGCTCCTAGATACAGTACAACAGGAGAGTAAATCATCTCTTGGATGGTTATGGGAAGCAGGGATGCAAAGCAATTATATAAATACATTATCATACATAAGCTACAATGCCTAGCAATGTGACTCCCAATAGCTGTCAGTTTCTCTCTGTAATGAATTGAGTAGGGGTTCCAAAAGCCATCTTTTGAAGCTGCTAATTTTGTGAACAGTGCTATATGTTCCTCTGTTATTTAGATGTTTAAAAACTTAGAAATTTTGTTAATACCTACCTTTCTCCTTTGAGATAAGCTGAGAGCAGCAAAGTCATTAAACAAGGACGAAGCAGGTGAAGTTAGAGGATCTACAAAAGTTTAAGAAAACAGATACAGAATATTTATTTTAACACTACATTTAGAGAGAAAACATTAAACTCAGAGTTTTAAATTTACAAACTATACCCAGGATCCAGAAAGATATTTTAATTACTTTATTTTAGGCTCACTTAAGGGCTTGCATATGCTCGGTAGAACTTTTTGACTTTTTTCGTTTGAGCAACTGAGCTCCAAGCCATGTCAAACTGCACGTGAAGCTTTTCTTCACTTCCAAGGCAGTTTTGCCAGAGGGCTTCTGCACATCAGGGTCAAACAACTAATTCCATGTCTACAAATATAACATTATATACTTCACAGGCCTCAACTGAAAAACTCCCTGAGACTGTCACAGTAATGCCTCAAATTAAAAAACAAAAACAAAAAACCTTGAATACTGACGTTTTTCTTGAAAAGAAATGATCATAGTTGAGCAGACTACACTAGTATTGGTAAAACATAGTGTGATCAATCCACTTAAATACTGATGTTTTTCTTGAAAAGAAATGATCATAGTTGAGCAGACTACACTAGTATTGGTAAAACATAGTGTGATCAATCCACTTAAAGTTACCCACATTTAAAGTTCCATTGATTTTCATGTCATTTAAACTAGTCATCATGCCTGAGCTTACCTGAACCAGAGGCAGTATGTTTTAGGATAATAAAGCTTTCTAACAGGCAACCCCTATGGATTCATCCAGAGCCATGATCTCTGCGTGGCACTCTCTGCATTCTTCCATGCTCAGGATGAATTTATGCATTCATTTACACCTTCCTTGCTTACTTAATTCTTATAAGTGAGCTTCCACACTACACATTCCACATTTGTGGGCTTCCCCCACTGATAACAGGAAGCCAGAGTCAACGCATAAATTCAGCGCAATTTATGTACCTGTCTATTATACTTTTATCCCATCCTTCCTCAGAAGGAGCTCAGGGCAGCAAATATGGCTTAGGCTGAGACAGACTAAGTGGCACAAAGGGTACACTTTTATCATGGACAGTTGCATAAAGGAGATCAGACAGAACTTGCTACAGTTATTGATACCCACATTGTAGTCAACATTTTACGCAGCACGTAAGCAGATGTATTTTATATAGTTTAACCCTTCTTTACATAGTAGACTCAAGGTAATTTTCAAACTTCAATACATAGTAAATATTAAGCATCAATACTCAAAGACTGGATCAAACTGGTCCACACAGACTGAGCCTACAATTATAAAAACGCCCTCCTGAACAATTCTGTCTTGCCAGATCCAGAACTTATTCCATGATGTGGAGTCCAGCTCAGAAAAGGCTCAGGTGTGAATAGCAGCTGACCAAACCAGTTTATAAGAGATCACACAGAGTAGTTTTTGATCAAAGGAGCAGGCATGTCACACAGAAAAATTAAATGAAAAGTCCATGATGCATACACAACTTACCTCTTAGGTTAGCTAGTCAAATACCAAAAACCACAGTGACTTCATATTGGCTGAAATCGCCAAATGCTGGAAAATGTGCCTCTCTTGTAAAATGAAACAATTATCTCACTTGATTACTCATGTATTAAACATGAAACTATGGCAGGTTCTCATGAGCCACTCAGTGTGTGGTTGCTGCTGGAATATGCTTAGCTGTTGCAGCAGCCTACGGCTAAATAACACAACAATCCACAGCATGCACTGGATTCAACCCGAACACCTCTTTCCGTGGCTAGTCAAAAGAGCAAACTTCAGCCAACCCACCATTACGAACTGAAAACTAGGGTACAGTAAGAAACTACACCACAGCAAAGCTGAGTATCAAAGACGAGAGAAGAAATTGCAATTTAATTGAATTTTTTTCCATAAACTGCTCTGGGGGTCCTTCTGAATCAAAAGGTAGGTCAAGAATTAAATAATCAAACATCTATACATTTAATGTTAAGATTGTACAATATACTATGTAACAACTACTGTAACAATGTAAATCCTTGAAACAGTAACTAGAAGACATTTAATCATTATTTTCCTTGTACGCATTATGAATAAACTGATGACCTGTGACAGCTCAAGGGGAAAGGGAAAACCCTCCAGATCTCCCACTGCAGTGTTGCCATTTCCACCTGTTTTCACTTCCGCCCTTCCCGTCTCGACTTCCTTATGATCTGTATGTTTTGGGTTGTCTTGGATATAGCAACCTCTCTATGTGTTCTCATGAGAACTTATGAGGCATGTATGTGCATACTTTTGTACTTTTCTAAAAGCGTAGGAGGAGGAGGAGGAGATTGAATTTATACCCCGCCCTTCAGTTGGAGTCTCAGAGCAGCTTACAAACTCCTTTCCCTTCCCCTCCCCACAACAGAACCCTGTGAGGTAGGTGGGGCTAAGAGAACTCTGACACAAACTGCTCTTTCTGGAACAGCTGTGCCAGAGCTTGTGACTGACCCAAGGTCACATCAGCAGGTGCAAGTGGAGGAGTGGGGAATCAAACCCGGTTCTCCCAGATTAGAGTCCGCACACTTAACCACTACACCAAACCACTACATCAGCATCCCCCTCCCAGGTTTCTAGAAAAACATCCTCCATCCTTTGTGGTTTTGCAATTTGTTTTTAAAATGTTATTTTAATTTGCAAAGCCTGGATTTAGGTTTGCATGCTGCTTCCACACACAGGGATTTTTCACTCCTTGGAATGCAGCATGCACCCACTTTTTAGAGCTTCCAAACAATATAGTGCTCTTTCTGAGCACAACTTGTGGGGCTCTCAGGGCTTTCTCCTTTGAGCCGGAGCAAAAGTAGAACACAGCAAGGCTGTGGGTAGACAATCCATGTGGTTACTCCACCTGTAGCCAATGCAAGGAGGGGGTGGAGCTAAGTTTTGCATTTCCCTTCCCACAGCTCTTTAACAGTTCCCCCCATAGTTCACAGCTGAGCTGTGATGTCACTTCAACCACAGCTCAGCTGCTGAGGAGAAAATGGGACACTGACAAGCTGCAAGGAGGGGGTATATTTGTCAGAGTTTCTCTGACAACAGATGGAAGGGGTAAGGATGGGGCAGCAGAGAGTAATGCAGGGACAGGGAGAGTAACTTAATAGGTCAGCTCTCAGGGATGCAAAAACAAGCTGAAAAATGTATATTCAAAGTACACAGTAGCCAGGAATCAAAATCAAAAGCTAACACATGCCTGTAGCAAGCCTGTGAACTGTCCACCTCTAATGGTCTGACATCCTCCATATTCACAAGGATTCACTCCAGTTCATATATTTATTGCATTTTTAGACTTATTTACAAAATTTCTATCCTGCTTAATCTCTTCAGACATCAGGGCAGCTAACAATGCAGCAACCAAGTTGTGCAGACACAAGTTACAACAGCCCAAGTTAACAGCATTGATTAAAACACACAACTTACAGATTTAAAATCACTCAAGATCTAAAACACATAGGATTTCAAATATGCATAGCCAAATCCGCTGAAGCAATTTACCCTCCTCCAAATGCACTTTGGAGTAAGACTGTCATGCATTCATGTGCAATAAATGTAGCAAGTGACAGTGCTTTCCTCACCCACTCTGGCAGTCCATTCCAGAGCACTGGGCCTATCATGGAAAAGGTTCATGACCACACCACAGATGTATGGATAGTCTTAAGGGAGGCGCAGGGGGTGTACGGGGAGATGGGGTTTGATGAACAGGAGGGCTCAAGGCTGTGAAGCACTTTAAAGGTAATAACAAGCCTTGAATTCAGCCCAGAGGCAAGTAGGCCATCAGTGCAATTAACACAGACTGGAGTGGTGTGTTCTAACTGGCTGGCTGCAGTTTTTAGCAATGGGAGTGTCCCCGATGTCTTGTCTTCAAAAGAAGTCCCATGTAGAGCTCATTACAATAGTCCAGTCTGGAAGTTATGGTAGCTATGTCAGCAGAGTCTAGATGAGGGGCCAGCTTACAAGCTAGTTGCAATTGAGAGAAGGCACTTCTAGCAACAGCACCAACCTGTTTATCCATTAACCGTGCCAGGCCCCCAAGCTCTTACCTTGATTTACTATGTAAAGCTAGTCTAGTCAATCAATACCAACCAAACCTTCTGTTTCCAGCCAGCATCACCTCCATCACTTGATTTTTAAAGATATTTCTCCAAGTATACTCCAAGTATAATTAGTACACTATGAGAAATATTCTAACATTTTAAACATCTGAGAAATAAAGTGACTTTAAACTGTTTTCATATGGCTACTTACTAGCCACAAAATGATAATAAGATAAGTGGTGTTAAGGTAGTTCTAACTATTTGGAATTTAATATGCATGGAATAAACTTATTCCACTTGTCACACTTCATTAGCAAGGATCAGATCCAAAACAACTGTATTACCTACACCAAAGGGGCTTTCAGGCTAAACTCTCCACCTCCACCCAATTTAAACATCTTTTGCAACTAAAGGGACTTTCAAAGGCAATCTGTGAGCAGACAAGAGATCTTCCATCCCTCTCCCACAATAAAGCATCAGCATTTCCCAAGTATGTCCAAGTCTTTGCTTGCATCTACAGTAACTCTTTGGATACCGGACAAAGGGGTTTTCGGCTTTAAAAGGAGTTTCTTGCTTTAAAATGTTTTGTACATCCTTCATATTAATATGAGGAAGGGCTCAATACTGCAGAAATATTTTTAGAAGCCATACCCTCCCCAAAAGCACTAAATGAAGTCAAACTTTTAACGTCTTGTGTTCCAGTTAAAGAGCCTGTTCAACTATTTCCCCTATAATAACAGCAGTATGCTAAAACAAATTTTTAAACAGATTCAAGAACAAAAACCCTCTTACCATGGCCTGCATACGACTTGGCACTGTCATTGAGAAGGCTAGGGGAACTGCTGCTATTTGTCATCCTCTGCAGAAAGTAGGGGGGGGAACAAAATTGCAGTCTATAAATAACATTACTTGGACCATTTGTTGTTTGAGCTCAACATTTAAAATGGATAAATACTTGTTACAAGATAGTTAACTGAACCTTTGTTCTCTTAGGACATGCAAATTGGAGAATGTTCAAACAAAACACCCATCATTGTGCCTAAATCCAGCTTCAGCAGCAACACACACACACCCCACACACACACTTTTGACAGCCACCACTGAGGCCAGAGGGAAGGCAGGAAGCCACCATGGGTTCAAGCTTGGAAACAGAAGCTGAGAATTCTCTTCCAGAGGAATATTTTATCTTGAACACTGTCATTTGCATCAGACTTTGACTCCTGCGAGCTGCACCAGGAACCAATTTTTGGCATTAAATGTGGAACAGAAATGTAATAAAGAAAAAGCTACACGGGGAAAAATGCTAACTGGCTCAGTTGTTTAAATCAAAAAAGTAATCAGCAGCATAAGCCTGGAAGCACAATAATATACAATACTATTCACTCAGACTGAAATATCCCTGTTAGGTCAGTGGTTCCAACTGCAAAGAAGGTGGGAGGGCAAGCAGAAATTATGTTATTCTTCCATTAATTCATCACCGTTTTCAGTGAAAAGAATGACAGAGGAAACATCCTGTGAAGAGAAGTCTCAAAAGTGAGAAGCCACTTTCTGCAAACCTACTTAATCACCAGGAATCAGAACCAAACATAATACAAAGTTACAAGTGCCTGACTGGCATTCATTTATTCATCCACAATATTTATATCCTAGAACTCCTCAGTTTACCTTTCCACCGCATCGAATACACAAATACAGACATAAAGTCATCTCCAGGTGGTACTTAACCCCTGTCCAGTTATCACATTCTAACATGGCAGCATCTCCTTTTGTGGGTGAAGATTTAGGTAGGAATACTAAAAACCTGATGTTTTGCAATATATGGAGCTCTCTCTTTTGGCTTTACACACCTCCGGGAAAATGGGGGGGTTCTGCCTGGGCCGCGCAGAACAGCTGAGGCAGGCAGGGATGGGGGGGAGAGATCTTCTCCAGGGCGTGCGGCTCCACACGCCTCCGGGACGATGGAGGACGGGGGGGGGGGGAAC